ATTTCAGAGCCACTGTACAGGCAGCACTATGGGTTGCTCTGGTTCAGCTAATTTGAATGACTTCTCAAAGGCCACAATTTCTTTTGTGGACGAAAAGTTTTTAGTTTTAAAAAATTTCTCAAATAGGCTTAAATTAAATTAAATTAGTTACATCTTGGAAAAAAAGACTGACCCCATTTTTAGCCAGCTGATGTCAGAATAAAAGCGACAGAACCTCCATGAATTACTCTAGTGTTTCCTAACACATCATGCGGCCCGTTAGATACCAGCGATCACACAGGGGTATCTTTGAGGATGACCCATCCACAGGCTCAAAGATTGAAAAGGAAAGAGAAGAAGAAACATAAAAAGGGGAAGAAGATGCACAAGGTGACCTGCCTGGAGCTCAAACACTGCTCAAACAAGTGGATATACATTGCAGCCAAGAGAAGAAAGCCTTGTGCACCAAGGCACTACGTCGCTCCTCAAACGACAACTCCTGTGAACCTGAAATTAAATATTTTCTAGGCCTACACTCAACCAAGTGAATAAACAACTCTACCTTCTCAGCAGGAGCGGCAGGGAAGGCGGCTCATGCAGATACTGAGGTTTCTCACAGCAGCTCTCCTCTCCCTTGCCTGCACCAGACAATAAAAACAACTGAGACAGGTACATTCCTCTGAACCCCACATCACAAGCCCGTGCTGGGTGGCCAGCAGCCTGCCCTCTCTCTTCTAGTAGCATGCTTTATTTCAAGTTCTATTTTGTAATAGCAATGATTAATTTGGTCCGACAGATGAAAAATACAGAATTATCAGCAGCTCAGACACACAAAAAGCTCAAACCACAGAAGAGCAGAAAGCAGCACTGCCCACGTGGCTTTGGCAAACCTATGTTCTTAACACTGCCTTAAAGCACCTCAGCTGCCTTGGGTGACAAACCTTCACATCTTAGTGCTCACAGCCACCCCTTTTTCCTTCCTCCAGCCCCTAAATAAGCTTCAACAAGCCAAGCTGATAGTCACCAGAGGTTATTGTACCTCTCATGGCTCTGGTATAGCCTATGAAAAATGTCACCTCAGCAACACTCCCAGATAAAGCATGTGAAACTCATGTAAAAATAAAAATTAACAATATCCACATTTTTAAAGGTTTTTCCCTAGCCAACGAAGGGGTGCAGGACCTGACCACACAAGGAGTTAGCAACCTCAGGGTCCAATGGAGTATAATCTGTTTCTTCATATTCCCTGAGGTATGACCATAATGGCATTGCTTTAACGTTTCATCCCCAGCGTGACTGCTCAGCTGCCACGCATGAAAAATACGACAATGAAAATGTATTTATCTGGGTTGCAGTAAACATGAAAGGAAAAAAACCACCAGCATTAAAAAAAGATCTGACAAGTTCATGTGAATGCTCTGCATTTAGCTCTTGTTTTAGAGCAACAGTCTGTTATGTTGGCTCCTCTACAGTTTAATGATTTCCTGTTAAGAATTTAAAATTAGAAGCCTCCAACAACTTCCCCATAAACTATTTTCAAGGTTCCTTTAATATCCACATCAAGGAGATATAGTAGGTTCATATGTTATCCATGTCAGCTCACTTCCTTCCCACTTCAAAATAAGCACATTGCAGGAAAATTCAGCAGGTTTTTTATTGTTTTCTTACAACCTCTTTTTCCACTAAGTATGTCCAGCTACAGTAATTAAAAAATAAAGCTGTTCACATACACAAGCTCATGTTTAAACTATGACAAAATGAGAACTTTTGGTCGCATCTGAAAAGCCTAAACTATGCCAGATTAGGATCCAAATCTAAATTTTCCATTGATGAGTTGCTTCAACCTTCAACTACTTTCACACTGAACTTCATCTGTGTTAACACATCGATTTCACAAACACATTTTTGCTCTTTGACAAGGACCTTACCTTTAATGAAAACATGCAAACAATAATCTTGCCCTGGCAGCACATGAAACAGATTTGATCTTTTTTCATCCAGGCTTTCTAGAACTCTATTCCTGCAAAACAGACACGGTATTTTAGGACCTTTCACTTACATCTCAAACTCTGTAACTCTATTTATTCTTTTGACTTGAAAACAATCTAATAATTGTAGTAGTTATACAATTGCACAAAATTATTCGAGATAGGCGTAAAAAAGGCAGAACATCTGCAGACAGAGATCCCATCTCAGCTCCTCACTGGCTCAACGAAAGGACTCTGAATCACCAATCACCACCTTTCAGACAAAAATCACCATCTACATCCAGCCACCAAAAACGCTCATTATGTGAAGTCTTTCTAACTAATTTCAGTTAAAAATGAGTCAGGTGAAACTGTGGCTGACTTAATGTGACCTAAGAATACACTGGTGAAAAGAACGCAGCAGTAACAGAGGGAATCCTGATGCTTCTTGTGCAAGACCTAATAAATGCACAGCTCCTAATTTGACTGAAATACGAATCCACACACACAAAAAAACCCCCAAACCTTCTCAGTTGGCAGCTCAGCCACAGTCAAAAACAATGAGACAAAAGACCACACTGCTACTTTCTGCAGTAATTTGCAGATCAAATTGACTCGTTAGTCATTAAACCATAGTTTCAGGTACAGGTTTGGAAATGCTTATGTGAACAACCTCCTGTAGCAGAAGGGAACTTCAACAATCCACTGTTGTTCAGAAATAGTAACTTGGTACCTGTATCTGTTTAAAGGTTTTGAGGAGAATTTTTTGTGGTGCAGAAAAACATCAGTCTCCAACAACATTCTCTCGAAATCACAACTATCTTCCTTTGCAGATGTACAATCCCTTCTATATGAACTTCTCCAACAGAGGGAACTTTGACAACCAAGAGGCCGTTTGATCTCTGGGGGCAGTTTTTATAATAGAAGACTATGATTAGATTGTCTTTATACGTTTACCCGTTACGAGCCTCGTCTGCATCCCCATCCACTACAATGATACCCAGATGTAGGGAGCCATTGCGCTCCATACGCTTTACATGTGAGTGCCTCAGATACCCAGATGCATCTTCAAAAGCTAAGATTACAGCAGACAGACTGACTGAATGCTTTGGCCTAAACAACACGCATTACCCTTTTGCTTTCAGACACAGGCAGTATTTGTAAGTGTCCCTTAAATGCTTCCCTGTATGAAAAGACAAAAGAAAAGATAACCAACAAAGATAAGAATATCCATCAGAACCTTTGCCAACAAGTACTGGAGTCAGAAAGATTTTTCTAACATCTGTAACTATTAATGAGTAATTGCATTAAAATAATTTACTGATGGGAAAAGCATATCATTGAATAGAGCCATTTTGATAGTAAGTTCCCAATGCAGCTTAAGGGAAAAAATCTATTTAACAAACAGGAAACCTCTTAAATTGAAAGGTATTTGGAGAACTAACCAATTAATTAATAAAACAGACTTTTGTGAATCTGTTTTGCTACTATGTTACTTTGAATGGTTACCTGCTATCTCACCATTAAACACATACACCAAATCAAGGACTCCACCAACTCTCTATTAACGCCTTTAAGAACAAAATATGTATCTGCAATAGAAGATCACCGAGTTGTTCAATACATAAATATATCAAGCCATACAGTACTAATAAACAACAAATGCTACTATATCTAAATTTTATTTCTACCTAGAGATTAAATTGTATTTGCCATAAAAATTATTCCTCAGGCTCTGCCAAAATGAATTACAGACCAAATACATAACATTATATACTCCAGAGAGGGTTTTTACCTTGCCCTTTTTTGCATAGATGTATTTATTTCCTCTCCCTGCATATTCACACTACAGCTTTGTCTACAAAAGTTATGATACAGTAAAGAGCATAGCCTAGCTAATTTTTCAAGACATAGTAACTTATCAAGAAGACAAAGTTCATTGCCACAGCAATGTCTTGAAAAGTATATTTACCTTAGCCGTTATTTTCAGAAATCTTATTAGATATTTTCTTTTAAAGCAAAACAAAGAACAATATAAGTTCAAGAATTATCATCTTCTATATATTATCAATACTTTTTCCTTCATGCACAGGAAAACTACCTTTTGTGTCCCCTCCTAACAGGCCTCCAACTCTAAACTTTCCAAACCAGCTCCCCAGAAAGTAACTGAGGTAAATAGCCTCTGCCTCTTGGGGAGCTAATTGCCAATAGAAACCAGCTGTCTTTCCTCAGCTGAAAAAAATCCACAGTCTCAGAAAATAATAATAAAAAAACCCACTGAAGCCACCAATAGGCAAAAGCAAAAGGAAAAAGAGGACAAAGCAATCTTCCACAGTCTGTTTATGTCACATTCCTTTCTTCCCACCCCATAACATTTATTTCTGCAAGTAAAGGAACAAGAATAATGTCTTTTCACAAACTGGGGGAGGGGGGGGAGGGAGGAATAGCAACAATTTAAGATTATTAAAAACAATCCCCAAAGTGAAACAGCAGAAGCTCTGCCTCCTGTAATTTTTAAAATAAAAAAGAGCAAACAGTAAGTCACAGTAGCAGCCCTACATTAACTAAGAAAAACAAAATAAAACTTGACAGAAGGAGAAATATTTCCTCGTATAGTTAGTGCATCCAGGGTTTGGGCTTTTTTCTAACCATTGTATGATAAAAAGTTTGGAAAATTAAGACTATTTAACTCTGAATAAAAGTTTTCTTCAAGACCACGCTAGAGCAGTCAAACTTGAGTGATACTAACTTAGTGTGATATCAAAATCTACACCAAGTCGTTGTACTGGGGTGGCTAAATTACTGGCTACACACAGTGCGAGTCTGTTTTAGCCCAAATGATCTTAATTGCCTCTGCCTAAAAATCTACCATCTGTGTCCGAGAACTATCCAATATGTTCTTAGTGGTGTGTGCAAGCCCCACATGGGAAGCAAATTAGGAAGAAAAACATGCCTCAAACAGCTTGATAAAGATAATAAGATATTGACAAAATATAGTGCCATTTCCACAAGGCCTCACGGGGTTAATTTATGCAGGGAAAAGGGTGTTTTTACCACATGGCAGCCAGGAGGAACACCAGGCAGGGCAGGTGCGCTTCAGGGACCTCATCAAACCTCCTCAAACGCCGGGCTCCCAAATAACGCTCACCTTGAGCTGCCAACACACCTGAAAGCCATAGAAGGCCTAATAGTAGCAGGATGTTACCACAGGTTTAACTGTAAAAATCAATATTTCCACTCATAAGGGAGGTTTGGGGTTGGAAGGCCCTGGAGCTCAGTGTGTGAGGGGGACCCTCAAGACCCCCCTTGAGGCCAGCTGCTGGGGGTGCCCAGCCTGCTCTTCCCCTCCAAATAAAGCCACCAAACCCCAAGGGCAGGCAGCCCCAAGGCTTTGGGGTGGGGAAGGCATCGTGACCGACCACGGTGGTCACCTGAAGGCTGGGCTATGGTCCTGCCACAAGTCACACCCTAACCCTCGCCCCCACACCCTCCTCCCTTATATTTCCCCTCAGCCCCTCCATTTAACCCCGCAGCCCTTTATAGGCGGATGGCTCCATTTCTTCTTCAACCCTTCTCCCTCCGGTCAGCCCCTCGTTCCCGGAGCTCCGGCCGCTGCCGTCTCTCCCAGCCGGGGCAGGCCGGCGGGCGCCGCGGGGCGTGAGGCGCGGGAGGTGGAGCGGGGCCGGGCGGGC